TATTTTTTTAATTTAATTTAAGTTTAATAATGAAATAATTTATTTTTGGTTTAATAATATAACATTTTATAAAGATAATAATTAAATATTCTGTTAGAATTCAATGATTGTCCTAATTATATTTTAGATTTTTTATTTTAAAATGAGATGTTTATCCTGTATTTGATTGTGTTTATCTGCAGTTAGTTACACGAATTCAGATATAGGATGGAATCAGATAGGGATGAAATCGTTTAGGGATGAACGACTTTAAGAGTTTTAAAGAGTTTTTAAGAGTTTTAAGAGTTTTTAAGAGTTTTAGCCAAATGTATTATAAGATAGTATATATATTATATTATTAAATATTTGTTTCAATTACATAAAATATTATAATTAATTAATTCTTCAATATACTTTTTTGATAATTTTACATTCTCATCAGCTAGTTTTACCAAACATGATTTATTCATCGGCTAGCTTATCAGTCAACAATTAGTCAATTTATCAACTAATTTACTAAACATGATCTAAATCTAAGTTCAGCGCTATTTGGGCCCAAATCTAAGTAGCCCATGCCTATCAATCTATCATCAACACTCTAAAGTCTAAACTCTAAAGTCATCAACCCATCTTCTACAAGCCCAACAACCCAAACGGATCTTGGGTGTTTCTCCTTCGCCCGAAAACTCAAAAAACAATGGCTATCACAACGCTTTTGATTTCTTGAGCCATTCTTCAATTTTCTTTACTGCTTATGTTTAAACCCTACTTCTATATGACTCTTAACCATTGTAGGCCAAAAACCGTTTCCAATCCCAAAAATTATTCCCATAAACGATTTCGGCATAACGATTTCTTGTCAAAAAAGAGAGGGTCGGTTAAGGTACTTTGTGACCGGTTATGAGAACCGGCTCAACCCAAACAGATCCCTTTCTTTATTTTGAATAATTAAATTTCTGAATTATTTATTTGAATGCTTCTCACTTTAACTCTTTTCAACGGAACCAACCCTATATATATTGTTTAGTATTTTACATTTGTATGTGTCACTTAATCCAATTTTTGTTGTTGTTATTGATATAATTAATAATTATTGTAAATAATATTAATGTATAATAAAAGTTATTAATAATTAATTTTCAATTTATATTAATTAATAATTAATATAGTGGTATTTAAATTTTATTTATAATTATTTATTACTATTTATGTAAGTTTTAAAAGTAATTATTTAGACACTAAAAGGTAATCCGGCACTCTCTTCCTCTCTCATGTATATCCTCCCCACATCATCGATCATGTTTCCGGTCACTTTTCCTCACTACCTACCTCACCGTCTCCCTCCCCATGTATTCTTGACCTCCGTCGTCCCAACCCCATCTCCGGCGACCTCTCTCCACCATCTCCGCATTCTCCGGGTCCCAAAACAGCCCCCATCTCAGAACGTGGGTTTTTCCTTGTAAAGATCGATACAAAACCAAACCATCATCTCCTTGATTTACGGTTTTCAGGTTCAGTCAACTCCTTTTTTGTCCGGCTATTTACATACACAGCGTTTCTTGATTCTCAATCGTTGAGGTTCATGTTTGCTACCATGAGAAAAACGATCGGTAAAGAAGGAATGGACTCAGATCGAAGGGGCAATAATCAACAAACCTCTTATACTGAGATGTGCACGAGATGCAGGTGATGGAGGAGAAAAAATCTAACTTGATATTTAACAGAGAGGGGGCATCTTTCAGAGTTCATCCAGGGGTGGGGGGTTATCTTTTCTTTGTCATTACAACCAATCTACTTGGACTCTTACTTGTAGATCAGGAATTCTAATTACTGAAGAAACAAAGGGCACTCGCAACAGATCTTAAACTTTAGGCTCAATTACAAGATAGTATGAGAAAGCATTGAGCAATGAATGGACCACTCCTACAAATGTTCACCAGAATTTGAAGAGCCCAAGAAAATTCAGTAAGTAGCCCATGATCAAGATTGATGAGAAGAACCCAATCGGAAAACCGATCCAAGTTCCCTCCCAAAAAATCCGTGACAGTTTGTCGTCCTCTTCGGCCTCCTCTCTTCCTTCTGATGGTGGGATATCCTCCGGACATTTGATCATAATCTGCATTCCGCATAATCCGCTATTGTTGGCAAAATACTKCAAYTCATTCATBGTGTCCATTTGCCCGCCTARAGGTATCTTACCGRWCAACTTGTTGTTGCTCACATCCAGATTTGTCAGTTCACCCAGCTTTGCTAGTGATATAGGAATCGTACCTGAGATTTTGTTACGCGACAGATCCAAGCTCTCTATTCCCTTAAGATTGCCAAAAGACACCGGAATGTGCCCGGAGATGATGTTGTGTGAAATGTTGAGAACTTTTAGACTTTTGAGATTGCCTAACGATGCCGGAATTTCACCAGAGATTCTATTGTTGGACAAGTCCAACAAAGAGTATATGTCAAGGCTACGACTCGATAAGCCTTGAAAATAGTTCTTCCAATTCACTATCAAGTCCTCAATCTCAATCTGGGTTTGCTTAAATTCCCAATCGGAAAAATTTGAGGTTTTAAAAGAAAAGTGACCGGATGTTGACATGTGTAGTGGTGTTTCGATCATTCTTGTGAGGTTTGCTATTTCGAGTGGAATACTACCTGTTAGCTTGTTCCCGGAGAGATCAAGAATTCGGAGATTAGCGAATTTGGAGATTGTTGGTGGGATAAATCCTTCAAAGGAATTGTTTCTCAAGACTAGAACTTCAAGATGTGGGCTTTCAGTAAGAACATCTTGGAAAGATCCTGTAATATCATTGTCATGAAGATCGAGGTGTCGAAGGTTGACCAATTTTGTAAAATTCCAAGGCAAGTTGCCAGAAAACTTATTCCCACCCAGATAAAGAAGTTGGGTTTTGGAAGAAATAGTCGTTGGGATCTTACCAGAGAACTCGTTGTACGACAAGTCTAAGTAAAATAAATCAGGATTATCGCTAAAAACAGGGATATAGTTTCCTGAAAATTTGTTTCTGCTCAAGTCCAGAAGCTGTAGGCTGTGCAAGTTGGATATGGATACTGGAATTTGTCCTGAAAAATGATTTTCTGACAACATAAGAACCATCATCATTGTAGCGTTGCCGATGTTATCTGGTAACTCCCCAGAAAAATTGTTCTGGGACAAGTGAAGAACCATTAACCAAGATTCAAATAGGCGAGGCGGGATTGATCCAGTGAGTTTGTTGTCGAAGAGAATTATGGTTTCAAGGTCCATCTCTGCAAGCCAATTTGGGAATCCTCCCTCTAATTCATTCCCGCTCATATCAAGAACACGCAAAGATGTTTGCGATGAAATCCATTCAGGAATTTGGCCGGAAATTCCACAGGAAGGCATAGAGATATCCATCAAGTTAGTTGTTGGAACAATCTTTGCTTTGTTATTCCAGATCAACTTGTTTCCTTCTCCTCCACCGAGGAACAAACTCTCTAACACAGTACTGAAGTTGAATATCCAAGTTGGGATATCTCCGGTTAGCTTGTTTTTCTGGAGCCAAAGGACTTGTAACTTGCTCAAGTTTCGTATAGATAACGGTATCGGACCGGTTAACTGGTTGTTGCTGAGGTCAAGTGTCCTAATGTTTGCTAGGCTTCCTATGTTGGCCGGAATTTGGTTGGAGAATGAGTTATGAGAGAAATCAACTACTTCCAAGGCCATCATGTTGGTAATTGAAGAAGGGATTCCACCTGAGAAGTGATTATCTGCAAGGTTAAACTCTCTTAACTTCGTGAGTTTTCCAATCTCTTCTGGGATGTTTCCCGAAAGAGAATTCATCCTCAGATCCAACCTTTCAAGATATTGAAGCTTCCCCACTTCAAGGCTTAAAACCCCATCAAACATGTTGTTACCCAGATCAAGAACTTGAAGACAAGTCAAATTCCAAAAAGACCCTAACTTTCCCTGAAAATGGTTATTGCCTATGTCCAGGTGACGTAATTTCGTTAACCCAAAAATTTGGCCGGGAATAGAGCCACTAAACATGTTGGACGACATGTCAAGGTGAAGCAGTTGAGTGAGATTTCCAAACCCATCTCCAGGGATGTCGCCTACGAAGTTAATACCGGAGATATAAAGTTGTTCCAATGACCGGATTTGGAAAATCGGAGTGAAGATGTCAAAGAACACCGTAGTCGAATCGTCCAACAAATCCCTGATGCTGAAGAGGTAGAGTTCGGTGACAGTTTTGGATTCGCTGCAACTAACACCGGCCCAGGAGCAACAATCGGAATTGGGACTCCATGATTGGATTGGATTGTCGGAAGTAGAGAAATTGAAGATGGTGGTGAAGTTGGATTTGAAGTGGAGAAGTGCTTGTTTCTGATGAAGAGGACAAGAGAATGAAGGGATTGGAATGGAATTCATGAGCATCAACAAGATTAAAACTACTGGAACGGTGGACATGGTGGTTAGCGGTGGTGATTATGATAAAAGGTATGATTTATGGTTGCTTCGAAATTTATCTCCTTTACTTCTTTTAAAAAATTATATCCTCGTCGAATAAATACCAATAAAATGTTTTTTTTTATTAACCTGAATATCTAACCCGTTTTGTAAGTCGACTAATTGAAGGGTACCCATCTGCTTTGTAGGTAGTTTGGAGTCACCACATTTGAACCTCATGACAACTCTAATCTTAATTATTTTTTCAGTCATTAATTTGGTTTTCCAAATTTGAAAAAGTCATAGCAAAACATTAAGGATGGACCGCATGTACTTTGACTTATGGAACAACGGGTCGTGGAAAACCGAAAATAATTGGTAAGAAAGACTTTTTGTATGACTTTAGAAGAATAATATTGCAAACTTTGTTCCTTTTGGTGTTTTTATACTAATTTATTTGACTTATAAAACGATGATTTTTGTTTAATGTTCATACTGTTGTTTCGTGTATGAACAATGGTTGTTCGAAAAAGATAACCAAAATTTATAGGCGAAACCAGAAAATGAATAAGATTATTAAGAAATGTGATAGAAGTACACGTTGAACATAAACATTAAAGAAATATACTATTTTGTGGTAACCGAAACGTCAGATTCCCCCATCCCTATAGCGTAGGAGACAAATGTATGCATTTCGATTCAGAAAGGCTGGTATACGAACAAACGTCTATTCGAATGGCTCCAGAAATCCAAAGCAATGTGATAGATGTTTGTTTTAGGGTTTTCGATGAAGGAGAAACAACCAAAGACAAATTTTTAGCTATTACATTCATTGGTCCGAAAAGTGCATTTCTTAAGGGTGGTGCCCGATTGGATTGAGATTGGGCTCCAAAGATCAAAAGTGCCTAAAGGTCCCAGATTCGAATCTAAGGAGAAATAAAACCCCCCTGTGGCCATGGCGGTTCAAATGCAGTGAGTCAGGACTACCCACGAAGCGGGTGGTCGTCCTAGAATTAGTCGGCTCTCATAACAGATTGAATATCCAGGTTAATAAAATAAAACTGACCTCTTGCTATAGAGATTTTAGAATGGGTTGCAAATAATCACCATGGACTATTTGTATCGAATATACAAGTCAAAATATTTATTTTTTAGTTAAAAAAATATAAAATATAAATTAATTAAGCGAAAAGTTCAAAAACCGAATTTTTTTTTCCATTTTGAATGGTTTAGTTCTTAAACTATTTTTTTGAATAAAAAATCATTAAACTTTCTCATTTTGAATAATTAAGCCCTTAAACTATTTTTTTTTCAGTGAAAAAACCATTCAACTTTCGTTTTTTGATTAAAAAAACCATTAAATTTTTATAAATTTTGATTGATTAAATTTCTAAACATTTTTTTAATAAATAAATCATCACACTTTTAAAAATAGGTTATATACGTTCTTTTAATTCAAAAAAAGTTACATTAACTATCTAGTAAAAGGTTGATGGTTCATTTATTTATTTTTTTAAAAAATCCAGGGTCTTAATCATAAAAAATGTGAAAGTTTAATGTTTTTTCATTCAAAAAAAATAGTTTAAGAACTTGATTATTCAAAATAAGAAAGTTTAATGGTTTTTTCATTTAAAAAAATAATTTAGGAACTAAATCATTCAAAATTAAAAAATTATTGGGTTTTTTTAGACTTTTTCCATTCATTAATACGAGTTGATGTTGTTTGGTGCAAGGGGGGGGGGGGGGTATTATGAGGTTTATGCAGTAGAATGAACACATTTTTCCCCCTTCTCTTTGGTGAACGTTGGATTATTTATGATGACCGAAAAATGAGCAACACTACTAGAAAACAAAGTATCAACGATGGAAATTAGCGAAGGAAAAAATCCCTCTCTGATTAGCGAGATCAGCAAGGGAATGACCAAAAACCAGGTCCCTCGCTACTCAGCGAGGAATTTTTCCGTCGCTGATACTTTGTTTTCTAATAGTTATTGAAACGAGAATAATGATTAATGTCTTATACGATGTTATCCCCTCACCAATCTGTTTGGATTCTTACTCGTTGTTATTAGAACAAATATATGTAGGGAGACGAGTTGTCGTTACGAGAAACACACGAGGTTGTAGCCTTCCAACATTACGAATTATAATCACAAGAAATCAAAAATATTTAGATATTAAGACTGATTACAAGATGGTATGAGAAAACATTGAGCAATGAATGGACCACTCCTATAAACCCTCACCATATTTTGAAGAGCAGAAGAAAATTCAACAAGTAGCCCATGATCAAGATTGATGAGAAGAACCCAATCGGAAAACCGATCCAAGTTCCCTCCCGAAAAATCCGTGACAGTTTCTCGTCATCTTCGGCCTCCTCTCTTCCTTCTGATGGTGGGATATCCTCCGGACATTTGATCATAATCTGCATTCCGCATAATCCGCTATTGTTGGCAAAATA